CACTTGCTCATTTGCACTCTTTGCTTGTTTGTTTTGATGAGGATAAATAATATGGGGCGAGTGCTTGGGGGCAGAGTTTTTAATTCTTTCTCCTACAAATGTCTCAGAGTGAGTTACTGAGACTTAAGGTGCCAGTTAATGAGGAAGGGGTGGGCCTTCGGGAACCTGTAGCTGTTCTTCTCTGTGGATCTCTGTACTTCTACTGTGTGACGAAAAAGAATTTTACCAGAAATTCAGAATTCTGCAACAGTTGAATCAATTAAAATAGAAATAGAAACTTCAGTCAAAAAATAAGAAGAGGAAGAGCAAGAAGAAGGATTAGTCACTGAAGATCCAAGGCCAAAGTCATACATACTTTGGTATTCCCAATTGCTATGTATGGATATAAAAACCGAGCGAAAAAGAAAGCCGAAAGGGGAAGAGAAATGATTAGTGCAAAATGTGGTGTGGGAGGAGAGCTTGAGATATACCTCGGGCCACCAGAAAGACAAGTAAGTGGATTCTAGATCAAATCAAGCTTGAATTCTTTCTAGAAGCAAAAACAGCTAAACAGAGAATTTTCTGCTATTTTAATCATGAGATTATGACAAGGCAAGAGTTTTGGAAAAATGGAAGGCAGCAAAAAAGAGGAAGACCAAGCCTAGGGATAGATAGTTCAACAAGGGAGCCACAGCCTTGAGTTTGCAAGAGTGGGCAGGGCTGTTAACAGCAGGGCTGTTTGGAGGTCACAAACTCATAGATTTACCAAAGGTCAGAAGTAATTTCAGGGAACATAACAACAATAAGAAACAATAAGATAGACTGAGCAATAAATGGCTCTATCAACGTTAGGAAGGGACGTGGTGGCGCTGCGGGCTAAATCGCACAAGCCTGTGCTGCAGGGTCAGAAGACCAAGCAGTCGTAAGATCGAATCCACGCGACGGAGTGAGCGCCCGTCACTTGTCCCAGCTCCCGCCAACCTAGCAGTTCGAAAGCATGCAAATGCGAGTAGATAAATAGGGACCACCTCGGTGGGAAGGTAAGAGTGTTCCGTGTCTAAGTCGCACTGGCCATATGACCACGGAAGATTGTCTACGGACAAAATGCTCGCTCTATGGCTTGGAAACGGGGATGAGCACCGCCCCCTAGAGTCGAACACGACTGGACAACAATTGTCAAGGGGAACCTTTACCTTTACCTTTACCTTTATCAACGTTAGGAAGAGGTAGGAAGCCAAGCCACTGATGTTTCATCACTTTGAAAAGAAATCACAGCCACATTCTGTTGGCCGAGGAAGGCCATGCCTGCTGCGTGGGGCCCCTTGCTCCACATCTTTCTCTCGGTCTCTGGTGGGCAGCTGAGCGAGCACTACTTTGTGCAGCAAAGGAGTGAATGACTTCTTGCATTGGTGGTGTGCAAAAAACCCCACCGTACATGTAACAGAAAGAAGAGAATAAAGCCGCTTCTGGCCTTAATATTTCTGAGAGATCTCAGGGGAGGGGAGCACCCGAGAACGGCAAGGGGGGGGCTTAGTGAGTACAGGGCACCCACCAGGCCAGGTCTGTGCACCATCATCCCACTCAAGGCTTAACAGCTTGTTCACAGGAGATCATCCGGTAGGCAACGAGGTGCGTGGCATCCTGGCATTCCCCTCATCCACTGAGCTTGTAATTTGACAAAGGAGAGTCTGGCATGATTTGTTTGTGAGAGAAGAAGGCCATGGCATGGTGATCTCCACGTTCTTTTCTAAATGCTGGCCGGCCAATGGTTGAATGAGCAGTTCCGTTACTTTCCCGGCTGTCCTGGTTGAGCTGACTAGTCTGTGGTTGCCCAGGTCACCTCTTTTAGAGGCCAGGGCACGTGTGAGACCATGCTGAGCTTTCTTTTTCGACATCTACTTCAGTGAGGTACTTTACCCCTGCTGGCCATGACCCCCCCCCCTTCCATTAAGCTGCTCTCCTTGCTGCTTCTTCCCTTTTCTAGGAAACAAAATTGTTGGGAAGATGAGTGAGGTTTTTGCTTTGCTTTGCTTTCGTTTCTGTGGACCTGGCCCTCTTGGCAGAATTTCCCGAAAAAAACCCTCAGGAATAAGGAAAAGGGTTGACGAAGTGGTGGTGGCAAGAGCGGGGAGGGGGGCCCTATTGGCTGGCGTGTCCACAGATTCAGGGGCACCCCCTGCGACCACAGTCTTGCCTGGGACTTCTCTGGGGAGGTCCCTCCTAGAGCTTCCTTTGCCTTCCCCCGGTGACGGTATTTGCACCCGTGACCCGAGAGTTCACTGGAGGTGGGGGGGGGCACACACACACATCAGAACCATTCGCCCATCTGACCGCTCCTCTGGAGGAGTCTAGCAAGGAGGCAGAGGAAGCATCTTCTCGCCTTTGCCTTCCAATTCCCTCCCCGCCCCCATGGAGTGGGTCTGAGTCAGTGCGGCAGGAGAGGGCCCTGGAGCCTTCCGCAGCTCCATGCCTTTCAACGTTGCTGCTGAAATGCTTACCGTCTGCCGTTTTGTGCCTTTCAGGTGGGAGCCGCTCTGTGGGAGCAGGTAAGGGCACAGCGTGGACCTGCGTGGAAACGGTCACAGACTGTGGCTTTCCTCGCTAAAGGTGGTTGCAGCAGCGAGGCACTTGTGTGTGTGTGTGTGTGTGTGTGTGTGTGTGTGTGTGTGTGTGTGTGTGTGTGTGTGTGTGTGTGTGTGTGTGTGTGTGTGTGTGTGTGTGTGTGTGTGTGTGTCTGGCTCTCCCTCCCGTCCTGGCTTCCGTCTCCCTCCCTAACCCTTCTACTTTGTTCCTAGGCCCTGCTGAGACGCAGGTCGGGTCCTCCGTGCACACAGGTAAATGCCCTTCCGCGCCCCTCCCCTGGCTCGCTCTGCTGGCTCAGGCGCTTCCTGCCACCCTCCATGGCCAGAATGAACTGGGTTTCTGCATAAGCCTCTTTCATTGCAGGAGCCCCTTAGCAGCTCTTACAAACCCGTTTCCAAACACAGGCCATAAAAATGAATGCGCCGAGAATGAGCTCCCGACAGCTGACTCCCCAGAGGCTCCCTCAAAGAATGGCCCATCTTTGGACCCATGGCCAAAACTGGGGGAAGGGGGAGACCAGCGGCAGGCTACTGGGTATGGGGGGGGAGGAGAAACCTTCTCAAAGGAGGCAGGAGGCACCTTCCAAAAGGACGTGCAGGCCAAGTGGGCCACCCATAGCGTGGCGGCACTCACCCACCCTCTTGCACCGCCGGATGTGCCCTCCGGGGCTTCTTTCTGCCCTGGGCGCTTCCAGGAGCCACCTTTCTTCCCCTTTTCTTCCTTCCCACAGGAGACGTCCTGGCGGTTCTCTTTGGGGTGCTCTTCGCCATCACGGGCCTCGCATTCCTCGTCTATGTCCGGAAGCACCGGAGGCAGAACTGCAGGCACGTGTGTGTGTGTGTGCCTGTGTGTGTGTGCGTGTGTGTGTGCGTGCGTGCGTGCATCCGTGCGTGTGTGCATGTGTGTGTGTGTGGTTTGGGGGAGGGGAAGAATCACACCATGCCCTGGAGGGAGACCGGACAGGCCCCTTTCTCCACAGCAGGGCAGTTCCCACGTCTTAGGAAGGAACTTCGCCCCAGCCTCTGCTTCCCCTTGACCGCCTCCAGTCACCAGGCAGGCAGGCAGGCAGGCAGGCAGGGGAGATTGCTCTGGCCCACAGCCTCTCCATCCTGACCACAGGGACCCCACCAGCAGCCCCTGCCACTTCCGAGAGAAGTCCTGGCTGGGGCAGGAGGCCTAGTGGGTCCCACCAGGTCTTAATAAGGCTCCTTCTCTCTGCAGATTGGATGCTTCAGCAGCCAAGGCCAACATCATCTATACTCCTGCCACCACCACTGAAGAACAGGCCGTCTAGGATGCTGCTTCCCCCCCCCACAGGCCAGAGGGAGACTGGTACCGGGTTGGTCTTGGGAAATCTTTTGCCTCATGGCCTGGCCATCTTCCCTCCTGACCCCCCACCTACCCACCCTACCCAGCCAGGCAAGGTTCCCTTATTAAGGAGGAGTGCCTAGGCCACTGACAAACCTAGACAGCATCTTAAAAAGCAAAGATATCACCTTGCCGACAAAGCTCCACATCGTCGAAGCTATGGTTTTTCCAGTAGTGATGTATGGAAGTGAGAGCTGGACCATAAAGAAAGCTGACCGCCGAAGAATTGATGCTTTTGAATTGTGGTGCTGGAGGAGACTCTTGAGGGTCCCCTGGACTGCAAGGAGAACAAACCTATCCGTTCTGAAGGAAATCAACCCTGAGTGCTCACTGGAAGGACAGATCCTGAAGCTGAGGCTCCCATCCTTTGGCCATCTCATGAGAAGAGAAGACTCCCTGGAAAAAGACCTTGATGTTGGGGAAAGTGTGAAGGCAAGAGGAGAAGGGGACGACAGAGGATGAGATGATTGGACAGGGTCACTGAAGCTACCAACATGAATATGACCCAACTCTGGGAGACAGTGGAAGAGAGGAGGGCCAGGCGTGCTCTGGTCCACGGGGTCACAAAGAGTTGGACACGACTTAATGACTCAACAACAACAGCCTAGGCTGCTCAGCCGCTCCCGATGTAGCCTGCTGTGCCACAGAGCCCCTTTCCTCAGCTTGAGAAGTTGGGAAGCAGACGACCCTGGGTCCCTGCCTGGCGCATGCCCTGTGCATCTTTGCATGAAAGCCATTCTCATTTGGCTGTTGTTAACCACAGCAGAGAAACAGCCACCTCAGTGTCAATTGCTGAGGTCTTTCAACCCCCACCCCCAACCCCAGTGAGTGACCCCTGGATTTAGGCAGGGAGGGAGGAGAGGCTTAACACCTCTTTTTGCATGCAGAGATGTGAGAGAGGCGGAGGGATGTCTGTATGCATGCATGCATGCATGCATACACACACTCACATGCAGACACACACACACACACACACAGATGTGTTCATGCCCAACCCCTTCGCCTCACATCAGCTGCCTCCTCCCCCACCTGGCAGTGTGTGCAGACACACACAAGGATCTTTTGACTGAAAGCTCAAGGATGTGGCCCGGCATTTGATGTCCGGGAATATTCCCTGCTAAGGTGGCCCATTAGACCTGGCTTCATGGTGTTGGCAGTTCAGACGCAGAAGGCAATTGGAAAGATGTAGCCCAGAGTCTGTACTTGATGTGCCAGGATGGGACCCAGCCTGTTATCAGAAGTAGTATGAACACAAACAGAACAAATTCCCTGTTGAATCAAAAAGGCCTGAATGGAACTAGAATAGCTTCAGGAAGGTACATCAAACATGCATGCATTTAATCTTAATTTTCAGAGTTACAGAACGGGGTACAAAACGTGTTTAAACTAAAGATGATTGGTTATATTTTAAGACTCAAGTACTTATGGCACAATTGTGCATTCTACGTCCAGAGATGCAAAGGCTTGGAGCAGGACGCTGAGTGGGGAAGGGGGAGGATTCTCCCCTTTCCAATCTGTCTCCCCTCCCCTCACCACTCCAAAGCTTTCAGCAGCTCCACTTCTGACTAATGGCCAGAGTCTGGTGTTGCCACCTGGATTCTGTGTCCATTTACTGGTATTCCCCTTGTGATGTCATTGTTCTGTGCTATCAAGTTGTTTCTGACTTAAGGGCTACCTTATGAATGGGGGACCTCCAGATGCTCCTGTCCTCCCCAAAAGCTCTGCTCAGCTCTTGGAAACTTAAGGCTGTGTTTGCCTTCATGGAGTCAAGTCATTTCATGTTTGGTCTTCCTCAATTCCTGCTGTTGTCAACCTTCCCAAGAATTACCGTCTTTTCCACTGAGTCTTGTCTTCCTATGATGTACCAAAGTATGACAAGCTCAATTTAGTTGTTTTTCCTCCCAAAGGAAGTTCAGACATGATTTGAGTTAGCATCTGGTTATTTGTCTTTTAGCCAATCCATGGTATCCTTAAAGCTCTCATCTGAAGCCACATTTCAAATAATAATTTTTTCCACTCTGTTGCTTTCCCATCTGTACATAGTTATTGGAAGTATCAGAGTATGAATGATGTTGGCCTCAGCCTCCAGTGACATGCCCTTACACTTGAGGACCTTTTTTAGTTTCTTCACTGCTGTTCTTCCAAGTCTTAGTCTTTTTATTATTATTATTATTATTTCCTGACTGCAGACTCAACTAGGATTGAGGTATACAAAATCTTTAACGATTTCAGTTTCTTCATTCTCAACAGGAAAGTCACGTAATTCGTCTCTACACATGCTTTTCATCTTCTTGATATTCAACTGCAGTCTGGCTTCTGCACTTTCTTCTTTCACTTTCGTCTGGAGTTGTTTCGAGCTATTGCTGTTTTGTACTGTGGCATCTTGTGATCTTGTGCAATTCCCTTTTCCCTTTCGTCTGAACTGTGCTGGATGGATGACTCAGGGACGCCATTAGTTTCTAACAAAAATCCTTTATTTGGTAACAGCTTGCTTATTCCAACATCAGCAGCAGATTCTGCTTCTTGCTTTAGAGACATCATGCCTTTTCCTTTTTAATTAAACCACAACAAATCCCCCTCTGGTTGCATAGGGGTAGAACGTAATGCCAGCTCGGTGGAATGCCCGATTCTTGGGGCAGACTTGTCGCTGGCCTTATAGGGGAGGGTGGAGAACCCAGCCCACCTGTGGGCCCCACCTTTTCCTGCCCTGGTTTGGTCTCAGTTTTGGCCTGAAGAGGTTCATCCCACAGGGTTTCCCAGGACAGTCCGGACACGGCTGGTTCTCCCATCTCTGAGCCTCCCATGGCGGCCACCCTCAGAACTTTCTTCTCTGCTCCCTTTCTTCAGTCTCTCCCCAGTAAGGTGGCTTCCCTGTAGGTTTTTCTTCTCCACTCTTTCTCGGCATGCTCTCTAGGGACTTTAAACGCCGTCCACTCCCCTGTCCAGGGGTCCTCTTGCACTATTTCAACCCAGTCCTTTTTTCCTTTTTCCTCTTCTTCCTCCTCCACCCAACATGCTTCTCCTTCTTCAGTTTCCAACTGACCCCTTCCTCCTTTCCTTTCATCTCCTTTCCTCCTGCCGAAATGACGCCCCCTGGTGGCTCTTTCTTCTCTTGTTCTTTCTGCCCCTGATCCTCCAAGCAGAGTCCCTTGAGGTTCTCCTCCAAGGTGGGCATCTGTCCCTCAGTGTCTTCAGCCGAGGAGGCGGCGGCGGGTACACTCTGAGGAGTGCCCCTTGGGCTACTCCCAGCCTCACACATCTATCCTTATTTATATGGGAAATGAATGCAATAGGCCTACAGTGACTGCATTTCTTAGCCTCTCGTTTCTTGGACATTGGAAGGTATATTTCTAGTTTATGGGCTATTGTTTTGTTTACATTCTTTTAAGCCAAAACAACAACAATAAGAAAACAGTTCTGGTTCACAGTCAACTGAGTTTAGTAAGGCAAATCTGTTCTTAATATGGACTTTAGCTTCATCAGAAATTTTATTTAAATTATATTTTGGTACTATGATTCTTTTTATAGTGATTCTGGATATTAACAGTTCCTAGACAGTATGCACAGTCTGCCCCTGATCAGTTTCAGCAGTGAGAATGCAGCTGCTGCAGCTTCTGCTTCCAACTGTGTAGTCTATTGGATTATTTCCATATTGCTCATCTGGGAATGCCCGTTTCTACAGTCATCTTTTTGGTTCTCTCAATCATGGTTTTGCAATAAACAGGCTTTGGTTTCACAAAATTCTTTGAGTTTGCAATAATGTTTGGTTCTGGTTTGCTTCCTATTTTTGCATTTCAGTCACCTATGTTTGTTTGTTTTATTTATTTATTTGTATGTTTATTTATTTGGATTTCTAACCTGCCCATCTAGACCAAAGGTCTACTCTGGGCAGCATTACAAATTTAAAAACTGTTGAACCAATAAACATGTGCTATACATCCAAGATGATAAAATGTGAATTTAAGATATAGCAGAAGGGAAAGCATGCCCAAATAGTCAGGTCTTGACTTTGCTTCTGAAGACACCCAGAGAGGGAGCCAGGCGGATCTCCATGGGCAAGTTGTTCCAGAGGTGAGGGGCCGCTGCCGAGAAGGCCTGGTTCCTTGTTCTTTCCTTTCAGACCTCCCTCCGCATTAGCCCCTTCAACCGCCCAGCCTGGCTGGAATGAGTGACTCTGGCAGAACTGGGTGGGAGGAGGCGCTCTGCCAGATATTGAGATCCTAAACTGTTTAGGGCTTTGTATGTCATTGTTAGGACTTTGAAATCAACATGGAAACAAATGGGCACCCAATGCAAGGAAATATGTTGGTACGTTTTCACCCCTGTAAGAACTCTGGCCACTGTATTCTGCACCATCCTGAGTTTCCATGTCAGTCTCAAAGGCAGCCCCATGTAGAGCGCATTACAGTAGTCTAATCTCGAGGCTACGAGCACATGGACCAACGTGGTGAGTGCCCCCACATCAAGATAGGGACAGAGCTGGGCAATCCACCAGAGGCGGAAGTGTGCGGAATGGACCACTGACGCCACCTGGGTTTCCATAGTGACCGCTGGGTCCAGATGTATATCCAAACTGTGAACCTTACTGTATTCGCAAAGGCTTTCACGGCCGGGATCTAATGGTTGTTGTGGGTTTTTCAGGCTTCTCGGCCGTGTTCTGAAAGTGGTTTTTTCTAACGTTTTGCCAGTCTCGGTGGCTGGCATCTTCAGAGGACAGCAAACTGTGCTCTGGTGTAGTTTGGCTAGGGCGTGGAGTATTTAGGCTGTGAGATGGGATGATTAGTGTGTATTGTTGTGGGTGTATTGTTTTCTGTAGACGGGTGATTAGTGTGTATTGTTGTGATAAGGAGATTATCTGTCACTGTGGTTGATGGTAGTGATCCCCTTGACCTTGTGGTTGGGTAGAGTTTGTGACCTTTTGTATGCTGTATTTTTGAGAGCTGGGAGCCAAGTTTTGTTGAGTTTCAAACTTTCCTCTTTTTTGTTGAA